ATCTTACCTGTGGACGTATTTGTATATCCTACCTGTGGACGTATTTGTATATCCTACCTGTAGATATTTTTCCTGTGGACGTATTTATATATCCTACATGTGGATATTCTACCTGTGGACGTATTAGTAAATCCTACCTGTAGATATTACCTGTGAATATATCACCTATGAACGTACTTTAAAAAATAAATGAAATGAAACTACCTGTGGATATTTTATCGGTGGACGTATTTGTTGATCTTACTTGTGGATATCACATCACTCCCAAATTTCCGTATTTTGCTGCTTTCGCGTATAACTGTCTACTTTTGATGTAAACAACGGAATTGTTGGCATGAAATAAGAACGCTTTCATGGGAAAAAAATCGAATAATTAATTTTCAGAAAAATCCGGATCGCGGCGTTTCCGGATGTAGATTTGCGTATTAGTATAACACCTGTCGTCTGCGTAAACAAGAATGGCGGCTCGTAAGAAGATTTTGGAGGAATTGACAACGTAAACGGAAGTAAAACGTGTTATGGATGCGTAGGAACGATTTAATGATGCCGAGGCTTTCGTGTAAAGCAGGAGAACATCAACACGCGAGCGGACATTAAGATATTCATGAATTGTTTGAGTTCCGAATTATGAGTGGCGATGTCCGGAATTTATTGACCCGGTTCAGTTTGGCGCATTACATGACCAGGTTATTCATGAACGTCAGGGAAAAAACCTATAAATCTGAGCACGAAATATCAAGTCTGAGATGTTTACAGGATTGTTCAAAAGGCGTGTAAATATTATCTTTTAGTTCAAATTAAGAGTTACATGCAGAAGAGACAGACAATGAATTGATACAATATCAGCAGTTACCTACAGCAGAGACACTGTAACGTCAATACTTTTGACCGAAATCAAAATGAAATGAAAGAATAACGTATATTGTATTTAAAAGGAAAGATAATTATGTTGTGTTTTTTTACTTACTCTCTTAATCTTTTGTGATGATACAACCATTTGAGATTTTAGCTTTTGTCTTCTACGTTTTAGTTCGTTTGATGGTATTTCCTTCTGGATCGCTGTGTCTTTCACCGGTTGATGGCCCTAATGATATTTTATATGCTGATGGGCCGTTAAGATCGAAATAATATATGTATTTTGTTTCTATTAACGAAAAATAAACATAATAAAAAGTTCGCTCCTTATCAGTCCTAAAATCCTGATCTGCCAATATAATTAATTTCATATACTACATATGGATTTATTATATATATATATCTCACCCGTGGATATATTCACGAATATTACCTGTTGATATATACTACAAATGCACGTTTTTGTATATACTACCTTAGGATATATTACCTGTGGACATATTTGTATATACTACCTGCGGAGGTATTACCATATATTACATATAAACCTACTTATGTGTATAGTTCATTGCAAGTGAGTGTCGTTGTATGTACTACTTATGTACCTTTTTGTACATATTTCCTGAAGATGCACTTGCAACTTAACGTAACCCCTGCTAAGATGTAGTCGGCGTTCAGTGTCAAACAGTTAGAATGATCCGTGGATTCTTGACCAGCCTGGATGTGCTTCTCCTTTTTCACCTGTTCCGTTACATTACAATATTAGAAAAAGGTTTTTAATGGTATTTCTTTCACTGCAGTAAGATGATTTAAAAAAAAACAAACAGATAAAGCAACAACAACAACAAACACAAAAACAAAAAGGAAACAAAAAAAAAAAAAACAAAACAAAACAAAAATCTTTATAGAACGTATTTTGTAACTTTTGGATATCCTTTCAACAATAAAAGACCTGTTCTGTGGTGTATTTTGGTTACGATAAAATTTCGGCCGTAACGATACGACCCGTTGTGAAATGCTAATATTCGATATACAAAACTAATAATTTCTGATATATCTTGAAATATTATAATTTATTACAAATCATAACAAGTGATTTAGTGTTTTATTATCTTCAAAGGAAGAAATTTAAAGATATCTCTATATAAATCAGTATTTAAAATCAGCAACAACAATCGTTCACGAGCTGATTACGGCGCGTTTTAATTCCTGGGGGGTGCGAGTAGCGCTTCTCCTGTGAAGTTCACAGCACTAGTCAATCATAGCGTGCTGGTAGTTTATTCCACACGTGGGATATTATTATTTATCCAACAGTTATAATGAACTGCAACCAATTCTGGTAGAAATTTGTCATAACTTTTGATATTAAACAGGTTGGATTTATTGAATGAAAATACTTCATTAATAGGTTTTAGTTACATCATAAAGAGAAGGTTTGCACAAGATAGCAGTTCGTTAACGCCCACTTTACAATAAACCATTGTCTCTCTGCTGTTGCCGGGGTAAATCCTATATATCACCGGGACTACACAATTAATTAGTGTTAAATTACTACGGATGCAGGCAAACAGCAATACAAGGCCTAATTAATTGTTTATAACAGACTGTTCTCCTCTACTTGTAAAATGACTCATTCAGCCGTAAATAGGAGACTTCCTTTCTCATTCCTCAAAAAAAATGCTTGAATCTGAAGATGAGATCTTTTAAACTATACAATGTTCGAAATATTAGTGTGGCAATTATTGTGCGTTTCTTTCATTCGTTACCATGGGAAATCGATGAACACAATTTTGAATTTTGATATCGTTCCTAAAAGAATACTTGTGTTTATTTTATCTAATTGAATTAATTATAATGTACTTTACAATCAAACAATGGTATGTACTACAAATTATGTTTGGAGAGAAGAAAGCAAAAACATTTCCGAAATACAAAAAAAAAAGGGGCATAAAAAGTGTTCGATCGATATTATTGCTGACTTGGTCTAAATCCTCCGCCTTGTCTGATTAAATCTGCACGTGACTATTGAGTGTCTAAAATATCAATTATTGCTAAACCACTATATCACTGATTACTTAAACAGCCTTCAATATACCGTTACCTAAACCTATTCTTGAGGCAATTAAAACCACAGATTTGTACAAAACTGTCTGCAATCACCCATTTTGAAATCCATTTGCACCGTGGTGTTGAATGACCTGTGACACGAAACACCAGCTCCACTCCATCTTGTCTATCTTCCACACTAATTGCATACGACGATCCTCTCATGACGACAAGATAACGGTCATCGTTAACTTGTCAGAGAGGACCACGTGAATAGGACGACACAATGACAGTTTGTCAGCCTATACAACTTACTTTCATGACCAGTTAGTCGATGATATCAAGGATTTGTCCACTTGTCAAATCGGTAATTAGCTGTGGATAGATCGAAGACACAGTCTCCTAGTCTGAGATGTTTCTACATGGAACAGCTCTGATCACGTGATGCACTCAGCTTTTCACATCTTTACATTAGTAATTTTCTAGATCAAAGGATACAGAGAGAAATATAACGCGTTATGCTCGTAAAGGACATATGACATAACAACCGAAGTTAGAATGTATGTGTCCCATTGCTGTGAAATATATAATAACCAGACTGATTTAGCATCTCAACCAAAGGACATCACAAAGCGTTGTTCTCATTATTCCATTTAGTGATGGATATGAATGTATATAAAGTTGGGGATGGTAACTATTGTAGTTGGTGGTGTAGGTGTTTATGGCAATAGAGGTAGTAGTGGTAATATTGAGTTGGTGGTGGAGGTGATTGTAGTGGTGGGGTGGGCGTGGTACTACTGAGTTGGTGGTGGAGATGTTTGGGGTGGGCGTGGTACTACTGAGTTGGTGGTGGAGATGTTTGTAGTGGTGGGGTGGGCGTGGTACTACTGAGTTGGTGGTGGAGATGTTTGTAGTGGTGGGGTGGGCGTGGTACTACTGAGTTAGTGGTGGAGATGTTTGGGGTGGGCGTGGTACTACTGAGTTGGTGGTGGAGATGTTTGTAGTGGTGGGGTGGGCGTGGTACTACTGAGTTGGTGGTGGAGATGTTTGTAGTTGGTGGTGGAGTTATGTTTGGGGTGTAGTGGTGGGGTGGGCGTGGTACTACTGAGTTAGTGGTGGAGATGTTTGGGGTGGGCGTGGTACTACTGAGTTGGTGGTGGAGATGTTTGTAGTGGTGGGGTGGGCGTGGTACTACTGAGTTGGTGGTGGAGGTGTTTGTAGTGGTGGGGTGGGCGTGGTACTACTGAGTTGGTGGTGGAGGTGTTTGTAGTGGTGGGGTGGGCTTGGTCGTATTGATTTGGTTGTGGAAGTGTTTTAATTGTGAAGATGGGCATGGTCCTATTGAGTTGGTGGTGGAGGTGTTTGTAGTAGTGGGATGGGCGTGGTCCTATTGAAGTTGGTTGTGGAGGTGTTTTAATGGTGAAGATGGGCATGGTCCTATTGAGTTGGTGTTGGAAATGTTTTTAATACTGGGGTGGGCGTGGTACTACTGAGTTGGTGGTGGAGATGTTTGTAGTGGTGGGGTGAGAGTGTTCCTATTGAAGTTGGTTGTGGAGGTGTTTGTAGTGGTGGGGTGGGCGTGGTCCTATTGAGTTGGTGTTGGAAATGTTTTTGATACTTGGGTGGACTTTGTACTACTGAGTTGGTGGTGGAGATGTTTGTAGTGGTGGGGTGGGCGTGGTACTACTGAGTTGGTGGTGGAGATGTTTGTAGTGGTGGGGTGGGCGTGGTACTACTGAGTTAGTGGTGGAGATGTTTGGGGTGGGCGTGGTACTACTGAGTTGGTGGTGGAGATGTTTGTAGTGGTGGGGTGAGAGTGTTCCTATTGAAGTTGGTGGTGGAGGTGTTTGTAGTGGTGGGGTGGGCGTGGTACTACTGAGTTGGTGTTGGAGGTGTTTGTAGTGGTGGGGTGGGCGTGGTCCTATTGATTTGGTTGTGGAAATGTTTTGATACTTGTGAAGATGGGCATGGTCCTATTGAGTTGGTTGTGGAGGTGTTTGTTGTGGTGGGGTGGGCGTGGTCCTATTGAAGTTGGTTGTGGAGGTGTTTGTAGTGGTGGGGTGGGCATGGTCCTATTGAGTTGGTGTTGGATTTGTTTTTTATACTGGGGTGGGCGTGGTACTACTGAGTTGGTGGTGGAGGTGTTTGTAGTGGTGGGGTGAGAGTGTTCCTATTGAAGTTGGTTGTGGAGGTGTTTGTAGTGGTGGGGTGGGCGTGGTCCTATTGAGTTGGTGTTGGAAATGTTTTTGATACTTGGGTGGACTTTGTACTACTGAGTTGGCGGTGGAGGTATTTGTAGTGGTGGGGTGGGCTTGGTCGTATTGATTTGGTTGTGGAGGTGTTTTAATTGTGAAGATGGGCATGGTCCTATTGAGTTGGTGGTGGAGGTGTTTGTAGTAGTGGGATGGGCGTGGTCCTATTGAAGTTGGTTGTGGAGGTGTTTTAATGGTGAAGATGGGCATGGTCCTATTGAGTTGGTGTTGGAAATGTTTTTAATACTGGGGTGGGCGTGGTACTACTGAGTTGGTGGTGGAGGTGGTTGTAGTGGTGGGGTGGGCGTGGTCCTATTGAGTTGATGGTGGAGATGTTTGTAGTAGTTGGGTGGGCGTGGTCCTATTGAGTCGATGGTGGAGATGTTTGTAGTGGTGGGGTGGGCGTGGTCCTATTGAGTCGATGGTGGAGATGTTTGTAGTGGTGGGGTGGGCGTGGACCTATCGAGTACTGTGTATTTATCATTATACATGAAAGATTGAAAACAAGTTATATATAAACTTTAGCGCAAAGTTGTGCTCTTTCATAATCCACGTTACACTAAAAGCTAGAAATGTTCCCTATTTCTGGTAAAATTAAATCAAAGTACTGCCTTGAAGCAATCCAAACATAGATAGTCTCGCCATTACCAACGCTGTCAGTGGTAAAATATTTCGAATAGGAAGTAAATTATAAAGGTTGAGAACCAGTCATTCTCAGTTGCTACAGCTCAAATATGGCCAATGCGCATTGCTCGAATATATTATAAACCGGTGGCTTCCTGGTTAGGTGCTAATGAAAATCTATTTTATCTACCTTATTTATTGGAGCTTGGGTTTCACGTTGAGATTTAATGTTATGTATTTTATGGGGATGTCGACTGATCCTCTTGTATGCTGCAGACTTGTTAAGCGCTTCAGTGACATTTATGGGATATTTGTCGGTAAGAAACCCAAAATCCGTTTAGTAGATCCTAGTTCAAGTGTTCATTACAATAGTTTTATCGAACGACGTTGCCCAATAGTATCACAAGGCAATCCATATTATTTGTTATGGTCGTTTGCATTAATATTTGTACGGCCTTCTCTATTGCTCGTCGTCTACACCTGTTAAAGTTATCAGTTCATTAAACAGATAAAGATAACCTTACAGCTGTACAGAACGCCTAATATACTGTCGCCCGTACCAACATTGATGATCAAAAGGTGAAACACGTCAGATGGTCAACCTTTTGGCAACTTAATGATGAAGCAGTGGAAATCTTTGTAGAAAGAGCCCCGAACCATCGACATGGTTAATAACCATTGACAGAGCCCCAGACCACCGACAAAGTCCCTAACCATCGACAGAGCCCCAGACTATCGACAGAGCCCCGAACCATCAACATGGTCAATAACCATCGACAGAGCCTCGGACCATTGACAGAGCTCAAAACCATCGACAGAGCCCCGAACCATTAACAGAGACCCGAACCATTAACAGAGCCCCAAACCATCGACAGAGTCCCGAACCATCGACATTGTCCCTAAACATCGACAGAGCCCCGAACCATCGACAGAGCCTCGGGCAATCGACAGAGTCTTTAACCATCAACAGACACCGGAACCAATTACAGAGCCCCAGACCACCGACAAAGTCCCGAACCATTGACAGAGCCCCAAACCATTTACCGAATTCCGAACCCTTGACGGAGCCCCAGACCATCGACAGACCCCCGAACCAATTACAGAGCCTCGGACCATTGACAGAGCCCTGGTCCATCAACAGAGCCCCAAACCATCGACAGATTCCCAGACTATCGACAGAGACCCGATCCATTAACAGAGCCCCAAACCATCGACAGCGCCCAAAACCATCGACATTGTCCCTAAACATCGACAGAGCCTCGGGCAATCGACAGAGTCCTTAACCATCGACAGACTCCCGACCCGATAACATAGCCCAAGACCTCCGACAAAGTCCCGGACCATTGACAGAGCCCCAAACCATTTACCGAATTCCGAACCCTTGACGGAGCCCCAAACCATCGACAGACCCCCGAACCAATTACAGAGCCAAAGACCGCCGACAGAGTCCCGAACCATTGATAGAGCCCCAAACCTTTTTTCTGTATTCCGAACCCTTGACTGAGCCCCAGACCATCGTCAGACCCCCGGACCATTGATAGAGCCTCAGACTACCGACAGAGTCCCGAACCATTGACAGAGCCCCAAACCATTTACCGAGTTCCGAAGCCTTGACAGAGCCCCAGACCATCGACAGACCTTCGAACCATTTACAGAGCCCTAGATCACCGACAGAGCCCCGGGCAATTGACAGAGCCCCAGATCACCGACAGAGCCCCGAACCATTGATAGAGCCCCAGACAAGCGACAGAGCCCCGGACAATTGACAGAGCCCCGGACCACCGACAAAGTTCCGTACCATTGACAGAGCCTCAGACTACCGACAAAGTTCCGTACCATTTACACTGCCCCAGACCACCGTCAGACCCCCGGACCATTGATAGAGCCTCAGACTACCGACAGAGTACCGAACTATTGACGGAGCCCAAGACCACCGACAGACCCCCGGACCATTGACAGAGCCCCAAACCATTTACCGAGTTCCGAACCCTTGACGGAGCCCCATACCATCGACAGGCCTCCGAACCATTTACAGAGCCCCAGATCACCGACAGACCACCGACAGACCCCCGGACCATTGACAGAGCCCCAAACCATTTACCGAGTTCCGAACCCTTGACGGAGCCCCATACCATCGACAGGCCTTCGAACCATTTACAGAGCCCCAGATCACCGACAGAGCCCCGGACAATTGACAGAGCCCCAGATAACCGACCGAGCCCCGAACCATTGATAGAGCCCCAGACAAGCGACAGAGCTCCGGACAATTGACAGAGCCCTGGACCACCGACAAAGTTCCGTACCATTGACAGAGCCTCAGACTACCGACAAAGATCCGTACCATTTACAGAGCCCCAGACCACCGTCAGACCCCCGGACCATTGACAGAGCCCCAGACCACCGTCAGAGCCCCAGACCATTGATAAAGCCCCAGACAATTGACAGAGCCCCTGACCACCAACAGAGTTCCGTACAATTGATAGAACCCCAGACAAGCAACAGAGCCACGGACAATTGACAGAGCCCCTGACCACCAACAGAGTTCCGTACCAATGCTGTATCTCGTGACCAGTGACTTGCACGTACATTTCTAAGTGTTCTACTAAGAGAAGCCTAACAAGGTTGTCCTAGATAACATTGCTGTGTTTTGATTTCTTAGACACGATTGAATTGCTCGCTATTTTTAGCCCTAATTATCATCATTGGCATTCCCAATTTGTTTTCCTTTTGATTTATTTCATATTTAGGGGACATCTGGTGACAGGGATAGTTAGAGGACAAGTCATACTGAAAGGTTAATTTAATTAGGTCAGTTACAGATCGTCATACAGTCTTTCGTGGCTTACATTGACGACTTACAGAACGACTCAGCGACAACACGCAAACTCCAATCGATATTGAACATGCTGTCAATTCTCTTCTGTTAAATAACTCCGATGTACCATCATTTACTGATTTAAAGAACATCAAAGCAATCATATTAAATCTATTTATATCCAGAATACGGAATCAGAGCGGGTTCTCTCTTCAGATCTAATAAATTGGCTTTCTATTAATTACTGATGTCTATGTGACTATTCTTTCAATCGTTAAGTCCATCAAATCATGCTCTAGTTCCATAAAGACGATACAGCTGTATGATGGAGCTGAATTTCAATGATCTAATTCTATATATGGTACAGTTTCCGGACTTTTGGTCCGCGAGGTAGGCCGTAACCTACATTTCACGTTTTAATCCAGTCGAGTAGTAACACAATTCTAAACACGCAGTATGTACCGAATGCTCTTTTGAAATAATCAGATGAATAAAAATAACGAAATTAATTAAATCATGTGTCTAGCGTATCTCTCTATTTAGATTTCGACGTTTCTTTCGATCAATATTTACTTTATTCAGTCTCCTCTAGGGTTTCCAAATGAAGTTCCTTTCATCACTTGAGAGACCTAGAAGGACGAAACAGCTGTATGATGTAATATTTTGTTGAAAATTGACATTCATTTTTGTGTCTTTTGTACAATCCTACTAAGACAAAGGATTACTGTACGATTAGAATATTTTACGTTATACGTTTGCACAGTAACACTACAGTATTAAGGCTTGTAAATCTGTATAGAGTTTACGTCATTCGTTACGGCACAGCACTGAGTTGACAAAGCATTAAACATACTTCTAGGTACATCATGGGATTAAGATATGTACATAACGAAATATCTACAAGAAAAACTACAAGAGTGAGATAGGCACATCACGAGAGTGAGACAGGTACATCATGAGAGTGAGACAGGTACATCATGAGAGTGTGATAGGTACATCACAAGAGTGAGACAGGTACATCACGAGAGTGAGACAGGTACATCACGAGAGTGTGTCAGGTACATCATGAGAGTGAAACAGGTACATCACGAGGGTAAGACAGGTACATCACGAGGGTGAGAGAGGTACATCCTGAGAGTGAAACAGGTACATCACGAGAGCATGACAGGTACATCACGAGAGTGAGACAGGTACATCACGAGAGTGAGACAGGTACATCACAAGAGTGAGACAGGTACATCACAAGAGTACGGTAATTTGGAAATTACATATTTCTCACTGTACCTAAAGAGAATTTGAACGCTACCACGCGACAGTTCACATGGCTGTGCGGATAGCCAATTAAGTATCGGCAGCCATCTGGAGCTAATATGTTTACACAATTTACACTTAGCATTACGTCAGACCTAATGAAGTGACATATTTTCGATAATACTTAACAAGGTTGTGAACTTCAAATAAAGACTTGTGTCTGTATTTGGGGACCTAATAACTTCATCAGATGACCAATACATAGTTTTCTATATTCAGGCGACTTCCACAAGGCACTTAGACTGCCGCACTCGGTGATAATGTACTTAGGCCTACACGACCTTACATAACTATTCACATCTGCACTCCCTAACGGCCAAATACAAATTCGGACGTCCGGCATGACTCTGTTGCATGGGAGTAATATCTTCGCCTTTTTTGACATTTCGCGCTGCACTATGATTTTATGTATGCTAAGGTCGAAAATAGTGTGACGAGATGGTAAATTGACTATAGAAGA